GAGAGGGAGGGAGGAAGGGTAGGGGTTACTTTTTTCAATTTTGTTTTTTTGTTAGTTTTTTTATTTTAACTGAGTGCCTCGACCCCTCGAGGCACTCAGTAGAGGCAGAGCATCGGAAGCCTGCTTGATGGCTTCTGATGCTCTGCCTCACTGCTGGGCTCCACGTGGAGCAACCGGGAAGTGATCGCTGCGGGGGAAGCAATCGCCCTGTGTTCTCTGACGGCCACCGGAAGTGAGGGGGTATTGCAGCGATGCCTCAACATCGAGGCATCGCTGCAATACCATTAGAGCTGCTGGAAGCGATCATGATCAGGTACGTCCACGGTCCTTTAAGGACCGTTTTTTTGTTGGACGTACCTGACACGTCTGAGGTCACTAAGGGGTTAATCAATCAACTTCTTATTCTTCCACTGAGTGAATACGGAATACACAGATACAGAGATTTGTGTGTGTGTTTATATATGTGTGTAGACAGATAGCTATTACATAAACAAACTATATATATTTCACATTTTATGAATAGTTAAAAATTTATAAAGTATAAAAATATGAAATCAGGTTGATAAATAAAACCTCTCAACACCTATTGTTCTAATAAATGATCAATGTTGCACATCGTGTTAAATTCTTGCATCAGCTGACTGAGAATGATGTGACTTTTATATAATATATAATACATTATAGACCTATAAAGATTTTATAACCCCAAATAGGCCACGCTGTTGTCTTTCGTCAGACTGTCATGCTGTTCATCAGATTAAGACTTTTGTCTAGTGCACTTGAAACCAAAATGAACCAGTTCATACCTGGATAGAGCACTTTGTACAAGCCCAGAAGCATTTAGTTATGAAATAAGTCTCAGCAAAGGAGGTTGAAGGTAGATGTTAACATTGACATATCGAAAAGGTTTTGTTTTTTTGCAATCATTTGTTTTGAATTGTTGCAAGTATATGTCCTTTGTTGTTTTGATAACTTTGTGGAAAGAAATACAAACGTTTTAAAGAAAAAATATATATATTTGAAATCTCTGTATTCGTTTAACTTCTATACAAAAAAATAAGAATGTTGAGAAAGACGTGAGAAAATATTTCTATAGAGCTGATAAAGTATGTTTTATGTGATGACTCACACTGCTTTCTGCATTGATAAAGGCTTGAGTTTTAACTATTCCAGTGCTGTTATGTAAATCATTTTGCCCATAGATCCTGTAATTGCATTGTGGGTTAGATCTTGGTACCTTTATATCTGGTGTGTATAGTTAACTATCAAGATGTAAAACCCCTTTTCCCTTAGAGTCCTGCAATTGGAATGAAAATCATATTCAACTGCGACCACTACAGCAGCTTCCTTCCATGGATGTTTAAACAGCCAACTCCTCCATGATCGATCTCAAATTTACCACCTCTTCCCTCCCATGTAATTAACTTCATCTCATAATCTACTTTCATCAACCCTAATTTTGTCACACAAACTGTTTTCCTTTCTTAAAATGCAGTTTTGTTCTCACTCCAATGCCAACATACAATGACACTCAAACGTGTTCCTCTCTGACATCTGTAGTCAGTTTGGCCTCTCCTGCTACTACTACTACTACTGGGGAGATGTCACTGAACCCCGACTCTCCTATGTCTATATCTACTCTCTCATAACCTTCATAGCGTATAATAACCCCCAAACTGGTTCATATTAGTCTACATAATTAAACATTGCCTTCCCTACTATTAATGTATCTTTATCCCTCTTTCACTTCATTCTCTCTAATGATAGTGTAATTTATAGCTTGCGGTAGCAACTTTTCACTTTTTAAATCATTTTCTCCTTTAATCGTTTCATTTTTTATATTCCAAGATCCCCATGGTCATGCTGGGAGATTTAAAAGCCTACAATTTGCTTAGGCTTATTTTATATAGGTTCTAGAAATATTAATGTATCACTGGGACTTACTTTTCCTTTGTTTTTTCAATTAACAAACCTAAAATAAAGGCAAAGCCATACCTTTAATCCAGCACCATGACCAAGTTCTCCCTAAAGCGCTCTCCAGCTAAATCCGAGTCGTCCTGTGTCATCACTGTACATAGAGAAGCATTGTTGGAGCTAGGGTGCATGCACAGCAAATGCCGTAACCCACCGTTTAGAATATTCTAATAGAGAAGGATTGAATCTAATGCTTCTCTGTCACAACTAGAGAACCCTTTGATTGCATTTTGTGTGAGCGTTCATGAGCGGCGATATGAGTGTGAAAGCTCATTTTCCTGGTAATGTTCACCCACAAATTTCTATTCAAGTGTGGGGGGAGGGTGAATGATCAGAGACTTAGAGAAGGTGTATTGGGAAGACTATTAGACTATGTGCACCGGAGCCATGCACACACAGTGCTAAAGCCGGTCTGCTTTTTGCAAAAATAGTGCTATACAATATAGAGGTGTAAGGTAAGTAAATCGTCTTATATTAGTAATCACACTCACACTGATATACAATGGATCAATTACCTTATACCTCTATATTGTATTGCACTATTATTTGTCTTGTTCTGGTTTGATTCTGAGGTTTGTACTATTGGATTACTTCAATGCCATCTGTACAAATACAGTTGTGCTCAAATGTTTGCATACCTTGGCAGAAATTGTGAAATTTTGGCATTGATTTTGAAAAATATGTTTACATACCCTTGAATGTTTGGCCTTGTTACAGACAACAAGGTGACACACCCAGGTTAAAATGACAATTAAATGTTAATTTCACACACCAGTGGCTTTTAAATTGTAACTAGTGTCTGTGTATAAATAGGACAGACAATTACCCACATATAATCTCAATAAAAAAAAGGGTGGAGCACTTAGTGGTACTTAACATACAAAAGTTGCTTACCCCTTTAAATCAAGTATGGAGGTTCTGGTGTACTTGAATGTATAAAGGGGGAATAAAAACACAGAAGAAAATACTAGTGCAGATGGTACTGATACACATATAAGGTACAAATGAATATCAGAGAGGTACTCACAATTTCCAGAGCCTGAAATTAAGGCTCTATATAAGCGCAATGGTGCTCATATAGGTGGCACCTCACCTTCTTCCCACAAAATCCTCTCTCAGGATCAAACAAAAACAGGAGAAAATGTATGGTGCAGTACATTTGAAAGTAATAAAATGATCTAAAAATATTTAGTAAGACAACTCTCACCTTTTCAAGAGCCCATTGATGCCTTGGCTCTAAGGTGGAAACACTTAGTGTCAATATTGAGGGGTGTCACTCCCCTGTCTGGAATCTGGACTAGTAGGCAGATTAGGTGCTAAAAGCTAGTATTTATTCACAAAGATAATAAAAACAATAAATCAGTTAAAATCCAAAAAGAAGCACTTAACAGTCCTGTTGGTCAAGTCCTGATATGCCAAAACGCATTTCGCCGTTATAGGCTTCCTCAGTTGGCTGAAATGTCTTCCTGGTTCCAATATTCTTTTTAAATGATCTCCGACTTGTATAATTACGGTCACCTAACGGTCATTGTCCAATCATGGATAGTGAGAGCATATTGTCCTTCTATGCTTTAGTTTCATCATTATAAAGTTTGGGCGCCGGAAAGAGGCATCATGTCTGGCACTCCTCAATATTGTAAGTCGTTGGTTGAGTCTACTGGAAGTGACGCGGCACATCACTTCTGGTTTCGGCGACCAGATAGATCCAGTCTCTAATTGAGTCCTCCTCCCACAGGAGGTCAAATACTCCATTTTGGAGAAGTGAAAAAGGAAAGGAAAGGGTAACAGTGGTTCGTGCAAATTTATATTCGATCATAAGGGAAAAAATGCACTAATTACAATAATCTATATATTTCAACCATCCAGTTAAAACAAATGGTATGATTCAATAGGGTAAAGAGTAAGATCGGTAATAAAAGATGATTATTAATTGTACTAAAGAATGATAAAAATTGGTAATAATTATTAATAAAAGAGGGGTAATAATTCTTATATAGTCTTAGTGTGTTGACAAGTGGGACATTATGCAATCCCAGCTATAAACGCTAAACTAGTGAAGTTGGGGAATAATAAATAAATAAGATAGATAAAAAAAAAATGGGATGAATAAAAATAGTATATACATGGTGAATAATATGTATATATGGATATAAGGTATACAGACAGATTATTAATTAAAGAAGTGACAGAGCTCGAAATCTGTATTAAGGCCACTTGGTTGTAGGGTATTCAGCTTAAATATCCATTCCATTTAGGCCTTCCCCGGTTTGTTAGCTAAATCTCCATCTCTCCACGACCTTGATACTTTTTGTAAACCCATAAATTGCATTTCTGTCGGGTTACAATTATGATGTGTTTTAAAATAGGAGGGTACACTATGACTTTCATATGTTTTTTTAATATTCCTCACATGTTCTTCCACTCTGATATGAAGTGCCCTTTTGGTACGACCTCAATAGATTAACCCACATAGGCAAATTAATATATAAATTATATTCTTCGAGTGGCAAGTAATTAATTATTTTATGTGGAAAGTTTTTAGCTGACATGGACTTTTAAAAGTAGTTATGTGTCTCTTTTTATTAGTAGTACTCATGCCAAGCATTTCCCACATTCAAAGAAACATTTACTCTGATTTAAAAAGGTTTTATTTTTCTCTCTTCTCTGTGTATAAATAGTCAAGGAGTTGGTTAGCTGTCACGTGGATGCACTGAGCAGGCTAGATACTGAGCCATGAGGAGCAGAAAAGAACTGTCAAAAGGAACTTTATAAAGATGGAAAAGGATATAAAAAGATATCAAGCTTTGAAAATGCCAGTCAGTACTGGCAGACAACTTGCATTCTTCTGCAAAGCGGTGCATGGGACGCTCTTGGATTGTCCAGCATGACAATGACCCTAAGCACGAGGCCAAGGTGACCCTCCAGTGGTTACAGCAGACAAAGGCAGTGGCGTACACACAATCCATGGGACCCCCGACAGACACACACACACACAGACACATAGACACAAATACACATAGACACATTGTGGCGAAACCGGCCTCGCCACGTGTCCTTGGAGGGGGCTGCTTGCCCGCCTCTTGCCTTTGGACTATGGACCAGACTTTATGTGAATGTGTTAACCCAGATAGCTATGCCATGGAGCCCATTCGTGTAGTTAAAGACTTCGGCTCCATGGCAATTGAACTGTGTGAATAGGATCTGAGCGCTATTCAGTAGTTTTGTACACTCAGATCCCAGCTATCTGGGGATATGTGAAATGTCTGTGTGTTATGTGTAAAAAGTGACTTTATGTATTTTAAAGTGTTTTGTGTCTTTTTGCAACCATGTGCTTAATGGAGTCTTGTGTCTGTCCTGGGAGATAATTGAATTACTCTCCAGGATAGAAGACTCTGAAACTGGTTTGGGCCAGAAAGCCATGCTTCATTTAGTCACAAAGGACTTTTTACTAACTTTTGAACCCCTTGTCTGATTTGTGCCATTTTTTAATATGTTGTTCCCCTGAATGGATTGATTGTGCATATGTAATTTTATGTGAATGTGATGTATGGTTTTAGAGTTATGAAAGTTGGGTAGAAAGTATGTTTTAACTGTATGTATAATTGAGTTTCCTCTCAGGATAAGGGGAGGGAATATGTGGGATGTAACCGTGATGTGATTGGTTGTTTTGTAACGCCCTGTGGGCTGTACTATGTTTGTGGATTGGGAATAAAAGAGACTGTATGTGACAGTACAGGGAGTTCCTGTTTTAACCCTCAAAGTGAAGTGTCGCCTCATTATTGGGGGAAGGATTTATTGTATGCTGTTCCAGTTTGACTGCTAGGAGAGTAAACCTATTCGTATGGTTTCCTATTCAACTGTCTACAGCATTCATATGCTTGGGAGAATTTATTTGTTTCTCCGGTTCGGTGGTTTTGGTGTCTGCTGCAGTGCTTGGAGTCCTCAGGAAGTGCTAGGAGCATCCTTCAACGGAGGTACCCAGTCGGGGTGCCAGGCGATCCGTTACACACATAGACACAGACAGACAATACATACAGACACATACACACATACATACACACACACAGAAAGACACACACACACACACATACACCGACACACACACATACAACAACATACATACAAACAGAAGGCACACATACACACACACATATATACATACACACATACAGGCACACACACAGACACATACACACACACACACACATAAAGACACATACACACACAAAAAAACACACTCACACAAAAGGTTTAAGTCACCCTCCTGTTTCCTACCTTTTAGGTGCAGGAGGGTGACTTTTGGGGTCCAGTGGTGGCTCAGGTTGATGGGAGTCAGAGTTCCCACTCTGACTCATTCCTCTGCTTCCTCCCACACAAGCTCTGTGTGATTGCTGGGAGAATTGGCAGTCATCTGATGGACCCCTTGGACGGTGGCCCCGGCAGTTTGCTGCGTGGGCCGCGGCCGCAAAAGATGGCGGTGTGTACCTGGTCACAAGGGTTCGCAGGGCGGCTGGACCCCCTGGAGTGACGGGCACGGTCGCAGCTGCGACCCCTGCAACTGCGGTATCTACGCCAGTGGACAAAGGTTCTGGAGTGGCCATCACAGTCTCCTCACCTTAATATCATCGACCCACTCTGAGGAGATTTCAATCAAATGTGCGGTTCATGCAAGACGACCAAACACTTTGCATGACCTGGAGGCATTTTGCCAAGACGAACGGTCAGGTATACCACCTGCAAGAATTAGGGGCCTCACAGATAACTATTACAAAAGGGGTAATACACAGTATTAAGAACTAAGGGTATGCAGGTGTCATTTACATTTTTTCTTTGACATCTCTTGTTTTATGATTGTGCCATTTTGCTATAAGCTACAGTTGAGAATGAATCCCACATGGTTTCTTTTAAAAGGGTATATATGTTACCACTTTTCCAAAGGTATGCAATCTTTTGAGCACAACTCTGAAAGCACACACTGAGGTTGGGCACTGTGTATTTTTGTCTTTACCATTCTTTCTTATACTTACTAGGTGTGGAAATTCATGTACTTTTTCGCTGCTGCCCACACTTTTATCCTTTATTTTTATTATAGTGAGGATCTATTACCTTTCTTTGCTTTTCATTTATAAGTGAAACACCAACAGCATTTAATTAAATAGGTGATATCCTGGAGTTGATCATTAGTTAAAGAAAGGCACCATCTAAATTTATACGTAGTAAAACAATAAAGGAAAGGAATATTCAGAAATGAATCAGTCACTGTTCACCATAGTAGCCAGATTGTTTTGGATACAGACAGTTTGTAACAGTATCTGCAACCAATGTAGCAAAGCGGTCTGATTTTATTACATTCAGCGTTTTATGTCATAATATTATAACCTGATTGCTGAGTGTTATCTAGTGTTTCCAGTAACACTGGAAGTACAATGTGACAATGATGGTGTCTTCAGGTAACAAAAATATCAACCTCTTCCTCAAAATGCCAGCAATGTTAAAGGACCACTCTAGGCACCCAGACCACTTAAGCTTAATGAAGTGGTCTGGGTGCCAGGTCCAGCTAGGGTTAACCTATTTTTTTATAAACATAGCAGTTTCAGAGAAACTGCTATGTTTATAAATGGGTTAATCCAGCCTCCAAATCCTCTAGTGGCTGTCTCATTGACAGCCGCTAGAGGCGTTTGCGTGCTTCTCACTGTGAAAATCACAGTGAGAACACGCAACGGTCCATAGGAAAGCATTATGAATTGCCGCGCATGCACATTCAGCCCAGGAGGAGGATTGGCGGCGGAGAGGAGGAGGAGAGCTCCCCGCCCGGCGCTGGAAAAAAGGTAAGTTTAACCCCTTTCCTCTCTCCAGAGCCCGGCGGGTATGTTTTCCTGGCACTATAGTGGTCCTTTAAGTGAAGGCAGGTCACTGTAAATCAAAGTGATGAGAATGATAAATTGTTTGGCGAGCATCTCACTCTTGCTGCTTTCTATAAACGAAAAAATGAAAACATTGTGTCCCGTTATCAAAGAGATACCGTTGCCAATCTATTAAAAATATATATTTCCTTTATTCCTCATTTAAAAACTCATTCATCACATAAAGCAAACAGGAATGGCTTACAGACAGACATAGGTGGTGTAGAAGTGCACAGATCAACACATTTCATATATAACATACTTCAAGATCTCACTTCATAGCGCCAAAACTCCTGCGTTCCAATGAACCTCCTTCTCAGCCCTGAATGAGAGTTCTGACTTACACGTTTTGTGAAGATGCTTCACTTCATCAAAGACTTCTCGTTGAGGAACCTTTGATGTAGTGAAGCATCTTCTCATTGAGGAACCTTTGATGTAGTGAAGCATCTTCTCATTGAGGAGCCTCTGATATAGTGAAGCATCTTCTCATTGAGGAGCCTCTGATGTAGTGAAGCATCTTCTCATTGAGGAACCTTTGATATAGTGAAGCATCTTCTCATCGAGGAGCCTCTGATGTAGTGAAGCATCTTCTCGTTGAGGCGCCTCTGATGAAGTAAAGCATCTTCTCGTTGAGGAACCTTTGATGTAGTGAATCATCTTCTCATTGAGGAGCCTCTGATATAGTGAAGCATCTTCTCATTGAGGAACCTTTGATGTAGTGAAGCATCTTCTCATTGAGGAGCCTCTGATATAGTGAAGCATCTTCTCATTGAGGAACCTTTGATATAGTGAAGCATCTTCTCATCGAGGAGCCTCTGATGTAGTGAAGCATCTTCTCGTTGAGGCGCCTCTGATGAAGTAAAGCATCTTCACGAAACGCTAGAGTGGAGTGCATGTATATTTAGTGATTAGTCATATGCACATGTCTTAAAAAGGAAAAAAACAACCATATGTCAAGTTGATCAAGTTTAATTGCCAAGGTTCTATCAAACACCACTCACTTATTAATTTATTTCAATATTTTGAGTATTTTCAAAGTTTTTTTTCTTGTGCTTTATTGCATTCTCAGGTACGTGCAGGTGAATCAACATTTTAGTCTGGAGACTTTTATCAAAACATTTCACATTTTACAAATACGTACTTAATACTTTCATAGAGAATAAAAATAAAAATACAAAAATACACAATATACATACCAATTATATTTAAAAATGTCAGTTCACGGAGAATGCTGTAAACTGTAATCAATAATGTCAATTTGAAAATGGTTCTAATTCCGGGTTTAGGTGATAGAGATTGTCATGCTGCTAGTCATGTAAGGGCTTTTGTCTGGTGCACTTGAAACCAAAATGAACAGTGGGCAGAGTCTGACCACCATGCTGACAGGCTGCACATGGAGAAAGCTCAGTGAAACTATTGCAAACTCTTGAAATGAAACGACTTAAAGCAGCTGTATACCTGCTCACACTCACACTGACAGCGCAGGGGACGCCTAGCACTAAGCACAGCAGACATCCACAGGTTTTTACCACTGAAACAAACAGTCTATAGCCGAGAAGCCATCACGGCCTACCAGAGAATCAAGGTGTGGGAGCCCGGCCGACCTCCCCGCTGATATACTCTCCTGAAATAAAGAAGGTGGAAGGGTCCCTGTTTCCCCTCCGTGCCCCCTGCCAGTCGGGGTTATCCGGCACCAACAAAGCGACTTTACCTACCTATCGCAAGGGGAGGGGCCGCAACTCAGCCAGGACCTAAGTTATGTGAAACCTGTGACTCTGAACCAGCTAAAATGGCAGATGGCTCCCTTGCGCACACCGCACAGGAATGGTGGAAGACCAGCATGGAGCAGCTGGACAAGATTTTCGCCAAAATTCACCAAATTAAACGAATGCAAGTTGAGGAGCTCAGAAGGAGTTGTCGCATACCGTTGACATCGCCTGTAGGCTCACGGCGCACCGTACATGCAGCTGTCAGAAGAGCCGCCATCTCGCACACACACCTCTAACAAGGCATACCTCACCTACTCACCCCCAGACCAGGGGTCAGGAGGGTCCATCCCCCTCGACACCGACCACACCAGTGGAGGCCCAAGGCCCGATATAGGCCTAATACCACTCAGGACTTTCATTGCCCCTCACAGGGGTTGGACTTGGCCTTGATAAATGACCGAGTCCATGGCACAGAGGTGACGGCCTAGATACAGGCCTGGGATAGACTCAAGGTACCCTCCGAAAACACTCACACGTTCTCATCCTCGGCAGATACCAGATGCATGATATGTACTTACCTGTCTCTGGAATAGGCTAACCTCACGAACATGACTACCGGCAGCCTAGGACTCTTATCACAGATCCCTGGTATGACTCAGAGGGCAGCATGAGCGACAGTGTTGCGTGTATTTGTGGCACAATAGGGTTTAATTTTTCTGTTAGTTATATTTAGTTTTTGATCACTCC